GTGACACCTCAGCCCGTTTCTCATCACACATCAGTTGTTTTCTAAAAAAAAAACCCACCCAAATCTGGGTTTTAGCACCCAAATCTGGTGTTCTTGAATTTAACGTGCGGCCAAATCTTTTTAGAATATTTTCATCCTCATCGCGTAACGTTTTTCTATCGACTGTAAAGAGGCATCGAATCAGCTGAAATAATTACAGCCCTAATCCTGCAAATAATTTGGTGCATGGGGGTTCTTTTCTCCCGTGAAACACCCTATTGACTCTTAGTAGGTCTGTTCCCATGAGAAAAGTTAACTGGGCTTCAGCAGCAGCCCAGGCACCTCTGCTTTAGCTTAAAGAAAATGACAGCAACTCCCTTAACCTGAAAAGCAAAGGGGGGGAAGAAAAAAAACAACGAAACAAAAAAAAAAATAAACAAGAAAAAAGGAAATACGGACACTTTCCAGCCAGTCACGTTTTACATCCCCACTTCACTTGAAGGCTCAAGGTGTGCTCCAGGGGATTCTGCTGCTCCCCCCAGAACCTCACAAGGCCAGTTAAGTCTGTTCATACCTCATGTGTGTTTTAAGTGCAGAAGGCTGAGAAAATTTAGCCTCACACTCTGTGCACCCATAAGGCTTGTCGCCTGTATGCGTCCTTTCATGGAGCCTCAAGGCAGTTTTGGAGCTCAACCCCTTTCCACACTGCTGGCACTGATGACGCTCCCCACCACCCTCATGAACCTGGAGAATGTGCCTCTTGACGTCCTTCTTCCTCTTGAACTTCTTACCGCAGAGCTCACAAGGGAAGTGGCGCTCGCTGCTGTGGACGTGGCGCTGGTGGCTTTTGAGGTTGCACCGGTTGGCAAAGGTCTGACTGCAGGTGTCACACCGGTAAACGATCTCGGCCGCCATGCCGTGGCTGTGCTTGATGTGCTTGAGGAAGCTTTTCTCGTACAGGAACTCCTTCTCGCACGTGCTGCACTTGAAGTTACTGCCTCGTTTCTTTTTATCCTCTTCGGATTTTCTCAGGTTTTCTTCCGACTCAAAGTTGCCATCGTGTTCTTCGCTTTCGGGTTTGACGTCGTTCTCCGCCTGCTCCTCCTCTCTCTCCATCTCACACACCTCCTGATCCTGAGGGTATCTGTTTTCTTCGACAGCGACCTCTGCGTTCTTCTGCTGCTCTCTCAGCCGCCTGGTGTATTTCTTCTTGGGGATTTCCACAAACACTTTCCTCCCAGCCAGCCTCCCACTTGCCCTTCTGATTTTGGCGTAAGGAGGCTTCATCATTTCCTTCTTTTTGTCCGTTTTCTCTTTGGATTTGGTAGCCGGCACCTCGGGAGACATTCCACTGCTGGGCCTGTCTGCTGGGGAATCCGGAGGATCCAGAGGACAGTCTGCCTGCTCGGCTCCTGCCACAGCAGCTGCTTTGGACTCGAGCAGAACGCTTGGCTGGGTAGCGCTCTCTTCCTCGGAGTTCTGCGATTCCGAGAAGTTTTGCAACTCCAGCAGCACCGATTCGAGCATCTGCTTCTTTAACTGAAAGCAGGTTTCCGAGAGGTCCAAGCACTTCAGCTTCTCGGCTATTTCCAGCATGCGCTGCACTCTGTCTTCTTCCACTTCTACCTTAGCAGTATAAACAAACTCAAGAAACGAAGCAAAATCGGCGACCTGGACCTCGTTCAGGAACACGTTGGTCCTCGGGCCATCCATGCCCTTCTCGTTAAGGAACACCTCCTTGAAAAACTTGCTTGTTGCTGCCAACACAGCCTTGTGAGCAACAAACTCCGCCCGGACGCCTTGGTACTCCACGCTGACAGTCACGTCGCACAGGTGGCCCAGGAGACGCAGCTGATGCATTTCATTCAGCAGGTTGATAGGAGAGGACTTGGATTCCAGCAGAACTGCATTACTTTCCATCTTTCTTCTCTCTGCAAAAAGCTGTTAACAACATTGCGGCGTTAGCCATTTGCATGGAAGGAAGCTAACAAAAACCAAAGATTTCAGCTGCCAAAAGTCACGTCCAGACTTTGGAGAGTGCTTCACTTTGGACTGAAGCACTTAAGGTGCTTAAAGAGACCGGACTTTCAGAGGAGCACTGTGAAAAGCCTGGCTAGAAGTACGGCTTTCAAAAAGCGTCACCCCGAGCGGTCATGTCTAAAACCTGCCGCCAGACGCACACAGAGGATGCTCTGAAGTTAATTTGAGTTTAAATCTCAAGCCACCATCTTACCCAAAACACCAGAGACTATTAGAACCTGTAATAGGGACAAAGCAAACAGAGAAAGATCAAAAGAAACGTTCTCATTAAGGCACGAGGAATCAAGAAATTATTCTCCCTCCTAATCAGGCAATAAGAGAAAGGTAAGATTAAGGAGAAGTTAACTGCAATCCTGAATAAACACTTCCTTAAACAGGCTTTCCAGATAATGCTTTTAAACAAGACTCGGCTAAAATTCCAAATGCTTAATCGACCAAAGCACAGGAGATGGCATAACCCCGTTCTCGAACCGTAAACCTAAGAAATCATAAAACTTCCTCAAAGCCTTGTCTTTTTAAAAAAATTCATCACTCGAAATGGACTTACAGTCTCGAAATTCTGAACGCCATTTGCAGCCTCACGAGGGCTTCACCATTCCCACTGCCATTTTGGTTAGCCTGCACTTCCACGGAACATTTCAAACCGCTCCCACGTCCTCAAAAGAACTGAGGTTTTTTTAAAAAAAAACGTTTGATCCCAGAACAAATTACATTTCCGTGAACTCTGAAGACACTCAGAGCAACGACCCCTCTTCAAGCTGCTGAGTTTTGCTGTGTCTCTAACAGCTACGTACACGTGCATTCTGAATCTGAACCATTTCTTTCCACTTCCTAAAAGTTAACCACGGTTTCTTTTCTCTGCACGTGCTCAGGTACAAGACTTGCAGCCTACTATACATGGGACACTAGAAATCTTGCTCAGAAATACATATATATAAAAAAATAGTGCACAAATGGAACAAAATTTATATTAACGTAACAGTAAGGACGTCACATTAAGCACAAGAGACGCAAAAGTATATTCACAGCATCCAAAAGACATATTCTTTCTCCTCCCACAGAGCTATAAACTCAAATTTTAGTCCATCCTCCTTTCAACAACCCAAAAGCCAGACCTGCATCCCAAAACAATTTCCTCTTAGAACGGTTTTGACAAAATACATTCAGGAAACTGTAAAATGGAGAGCTCCAAAACACACAGATTCATGAAGCTTCTCAGTAGCCCTGTAAAACGATTTGGTACCACAGGAGGGAAAAGCCCCCGGGGCCCTGCCCCAAGGGGTTTACAAATAAGGCAGGCAGGACCCGAGGGCGCCCAACCTCATGGGCACCCAAACCCCGATCTTCAGAGCCTACAGAACACGGTTGTCCTCAGAGCCAAACCTTCCCTATTTCCTGGCCTTTGGCTCTTCAGCTCAGTACACCTACTCTGAAGATTTAAACAGTTCCATTAACATCATTCTAACAAATCCCTAACACCACTGTTCCCGAGTCACACGTAATCCAAAAGGCCCAGGAAGGGGACACGGAATGGCCTGGGCCAGCTTGGAGCTCAACAAGCGCCCCAAAACATTGTCCCCTTTACAAGCACACCCCGAGGCGACGCTTCAGCTTTGACAGAAGTTCTGTACGGATGAGAATGACGCAATTTGAGTCCCGACTGAAGGGCTGACTCCCACAAACTGGCATAACTCCCTTTCTCCATAGTCACTCTGCGATTTTTTTCCTCCCTGTTATTCAGCACGCTGGCACTCCCAACTATCTGAGGATGAATTAAGCAAAGGCTCGCTGAACGCTTTGTCAGAAACAATCACTGACCTAAAAACGTAACTTCTTCCCCCGGTACAATTATTTTTGAACTACTTATCACGTTATTTCACAACCATCCAGCTATTTGCCATGTGATCTCACAGCAAAAGCTGTGGTCACGTGTAGTCAGCAGCGATCCCCAGCAGGAAACAAGAACTCAAACCACAAACTTCTCCCCCCGGGGCGGACGAGTTCGGAGCTGCACTCGGCTCGTTCCAGGAGCTCACTGCACACGTGCGTGTTAACAGACACATCACGCCAATTCCTCTTTTCTTTGGGCTGCAAAACAGAAACCTCCTGCTCTTCCTACCGTAGCGTTTCACAGAATCATAGAATCATGGAATGGTTTGGGTTGGAAGGGACCTCAAAGATCACCCTGTTCCAACCCCCCTGCCATGGGCAGAGACACCCTCCACTACACCAGGTTGCCCCAAGCCTCATCCAACCTGGCCTTGAACACTTCCAGGGATGGGGCAGCCACAGCTTCTCCG